TTATCAACTCTTTATGATAGATTTCTTCTGTGAAATCCATGTTCATATATGTTTGAATTTTCCTTGCATAAATGAAAAATATCTTCAGCCCTCTGTGATTTATATTTCTCCCCTTATTTGAAATTTCTTTGCGTATTCAACGGAAAATATCTTCAGCCATACGGTATTTCTTCCCTAACTCTGTTGGACATGAAGGAAAGCAGACGTAGTCAATATATGATTGCAAACAATGCACGAATTTGATTGGGTTGTGACATGTATAGCTCACATATTCGAGATACAACCCTGTGTCAGTGACATTTTAAAGGTAGGCAGCGACCTTAATTATTTTGTAATATATTGCATTGGTATCGAGCTGTCTTTTATAAAAGTGTTGATATGATGTGAGTATAGATTTTTTCATTGTTTTTCATTTAGTCTTTTAACTGTTTTTCGTATTTCTGAATGCAATCAGGGGGAGTTGAACTCTATCAATTAATTTTTGTTTGAATTCAAATTATATTGAAAAGTTAACCTCTTTGGAGTGAGTTGTTCAAGTGGAATGAAATATTCTGTTTCTCATTGCACTGGAACTGAGCTGTGTTGCTTGATTTACGTTTGAGTTGAATATTTCGTTAGTGTGTGTTTATCACCCCCCCCCCTTTTTTTTGTTCCTGTTTTATCCTTTTTTTAATGTTTTGCAATTTATATGGTTTTGTCATAACCTACTTACTTCTTTTTAAGGCAGTCAATCAGCTACAGTACATAAAATTGCCTTGCAGAAAATTGAATTTAGGTCATCATATTGGCCAAGAAAAAGCAGTGCGAGGGATAATTACGCATCAAACTGGAATAGGCATCAGCGAACAAGCAAAACAGAAAAATGGTTGAAATACGTATAGAGAAAGCAGGTCGTCATAAGATTGTAATTATTTTTTTCAAATTATGCCTTCGCATTCATAAAAAAAGCTCAGTTCTTTTTATGTCAATTAACGTTAGTATTGTATTTTGTTTTTCATTTTATTTTTAAGCTCGGGTTATCTGCTTTAGATAATTTTTATATATAAAATACTAATTTAAATTCTGTATGCTATGGATTTTTCTGAAAAATAGTTAAATCTTCTATAAGTTTAGAGGATAACATTAGACTGGCTGCAAAAGTTCTATTTGGCGTGATTTCAAAATCTCTCCATAAACGAGTAATGTGCCGATTGCAATGTTCCACCTATTTTATCTTTTTCTCTAGTGGTTCTAAATAATATTAATATATAATTTTTATTTTTTGGTACTTGCATTTTTTGTAGCCGACTATTTACCTCAAATCCAAAGACATCATCAAATGCGCGATATACATTCAATAATGGGAAATCATTCTATGTCTGTTTGTGTACACAATAATATTATTTTGCATTTGGCTGTGGATTTTCCCACCAAATAGTTGTTGAAATTTCTAAAAGTTGGGTCGATTACATTACATTGATTGCAAAGGATCTATTTGATGTGATTTCAGAATTTCGTTTGATGTTACTCTGAAAAACAAAAAGCAAAATTAAGGTTTCCTGATGCATATTTTTCCTTTGTGTATTTACGTATTATCGCAATCATATTGGCAATATAATTTTAAAGGAAGCCCATAGTCGCCAACTTGGCGAGTTATTTTGAACGTTGTCATTGTTGCAATAGTACGTAAGTAACCTGGTTTGGAACAGTTTTTGGTGATTTCATCAAAATATTGAACTTTAATTTGTTTTTGATAGCTTTTGAACATTTAAGTTTGTTATAGCTAGCTGTAGACAACCACGCATTCCTTTGGCTCAATCTGGTTAAAAAGGGGAAAAAAGAGAAAGCACACATTTCTAATATGTTTAACCGCTTGCACTTGAGGTTTGATTTTTTTATAAAAAAATGTGTAATAATGCATAAACAAAACTTTTCTAAATAGATTTCATTTGTTATTTGTTAATGGAATACTTGAAGTTTTACGGTTTGTTTTTGTCCGTATGTTATGAACCTAAAATTATTTACGTTGTCTCCAGAGTAGAGGCAAGTCAAAAATTTTAAATGACTCTACTCTTGAGTCCTCGAGGACAAAGGGTTAATTTAACGATTGTCTGGTTTGCTTACTCTACAACACACAACAAATAATTGTCCATGTGAGGAGCAATCTGTGTCTAAATCTAAGCCGCTTAGTTTTAAAGATAGGCCCTGAACTTTGTTGATAAGGATTGCAAATGCCAATCGAATTGTGAATTGTAAACATTTTCAATCATTATCAACGTTTTGTTGCAGATTTTTGCTGTGAAATCCATGTTCATGGTTGAATTTTCTTTGAATGTTCAACAAAAATGTCTTCAGCCATGTGTAGTTTATATTTCTACCCTTACTCTGTTGGAGATGAAGAAAAACAGGAATAATCAATATATGCTAGCAAACAATGCACAAATTTGATTTGTTTGCAACGTGTTGCTCACGTCATTAATGATGCATCCCACAGCATATGAGTGTGCTTCGTGCAAAGCATGAGAGACTTCGTGTAAAGCATTCACATGATTACAATTGCCTTGCGTTGCAGTGCAACCCAGCTGAGGATTATAGTTTGAGCCGGCATGTTCTCATTGGCACAATGACTGAAGCTTGTCCTTATTGTAAGGCTCTGAAATTTAATGGAGAATCAAAAGAAATACTTTGTGCCACTGGAAAAATTAAACTGCCTGAACTTACAGAACCACCAGAGACATTAAACACTTTGCTTGCCAGATATACTGCAGAATCAAAGTACTTTCTATCTAATATCAGGAAATAGAATTCATATTCCCAACTGGCATTATTTGGAGCAGAAATGGTAACAACTCTCTCCATGCGAACTTTCAAAATTAAAGGACAAATTTATCATAAAGCTAGCTTTCTGCTTGCGTTTACAAATGGTCAACATAAATTTTTACAAATGTACTTTATCAGTTATGGCAAGGATGAATTGAATGCCCGCTGTGGAATTTCTACTGGCATAAAAAGGTAAACTGTTTTTAAACAAGAGCTTCTTTACCGAAAAAAAATAATTTAGTGCGTTGAGGCCTCCACTATGGAGACAACATAAATAATTTTAGGTTCGTAACATAAGGAAAAAAGAAACCGTAATTTCAAGTATTCATTAACAAATGAAATCTGCTTTGAAATTTTTGTTTATGTATATGTATACATAATTTTTTAAATAAAAAATCATACCTCAAATGCAAAAGGTTAAATATATTAGAAATGTGTGCTTCTCATTTTTTTTTGTTTTTTTTTTTTTTGTTTCTTAACCAGAACTGAGCCACAACAACGCGGTGACAGGGTACAACTAGTAATTAATAAAGATTAGAAAAGTATAAAAACATTATAAACACTACATATTAAATTTATTTAATTTTGTTACTAACTTTTGAAACTTCTCTTCTTACTTTCTTATTTACAGAAGAATCCACGACCTTTCCAAGATTTCGTTTTTCGCTATATGTTTCAGACATTGCCAACTTTTTTCTTTTTGAATACAGCCCACCGCAAATACTGACAAACAAAATTAATCTTGAATTTCGATGTGATAAGAGTCTAAAGCATATTGACCAAAATTACATTCAAGCAGAATTATCTGAATGATTGAAAACAACGTATCCATCCTCTCTAAGCACTAAGATAATTTCTGATGCAGAATTCAATCACCATCTTCTACAATCAAGATTAGATAAGATAAGACAAGTTAAATCCTAACCCGCTCACGATGATTACGAGTATACTACGTCACACAGTTTTTTAAAAAACAGTGGGAGAAAACAACTCGACCACCACCTATGCTGATCAGCCTGCGAATTGAAAACCAAAACCATAGCAGGAGAAAAACAACCCAACTCAGCAGCAGGAGAAAAACAATCCAACTTAGCAACATGAGGAAAACAACTCAACTCAGCAGCAGAAAGAAAATAACTCAACTTGACCACTACTTGCGCAGTCTGCTCCACCCGCGCAGCTTTTTGCCACAGAATCAGCCTTTCTATCAACTTCCAGGAATCTAAGACAAAATTTTGATTCCGTTTTTTAAACTTGGTCAAAATTCATCCCATCTAATAAGTTACAGTAACCTGGGAGTAAAGTTTCAAGTGGTGGGGATTTAAGTCTTGATTCTTCACGAAATCATCAACAGTGACTATGCCTCGGGTAAATATTAATTCTTCGTGTAACTAGGTGAAAATGTTTTGAAAACAAGGTACTAGCTCAAGTGTCATCTTCATGACTTGAATGTGGTTCGTAGTCAGTCAAAGTCAGCAATGGTGTACATATCTAGCAAGGTACTAATTCTGCAAAATCATATAAAAAAAAGAGTTCCTTACCTTCACGGAGGGTGACCATGTAATAGGATTCTTTACTGGGGCGAGAAGCTCCAATTGTGTTTACTGCGACCACACGAAATGAGTACACAGTATAGGGTTGTAGACCTATTACTTGCCAGCTTGTCCCATTACCCGTCGTCATGATGCCACTGGATTCATCCCATTCACCTGATTCACCAACTCTGCATAGTAAAAAAAAATAATAATAATTAATTTGAATGAAAGACATACAGTCACTTAATATATATTACTGCATATTATATTAAAATTATTCAGAATTACCTATGCATTTGTTTTTCCCTTCAAATTTCTAAGTAACTTTATTTTAAAATTTTTCTTTGTCACATCATAATATTCTGATTGTAAGAATATTCGTTGAGAACTTTTCCAAAAATGAAATACCGTATCTTACGAATCTCAGCCAAAATTGATTCTAAGCCGCATTGCGGAATTCTTAACACGTTATTGTGAAAAAATATTTTTAAAAAAATGTAAAATGGTTTTCTTGATATCCAGTACTTACAAATTTAAAAAAAAAAACATGTAATATGAAAAAATTAAGACACAATTTTTTTTATTTATTGCTATTTATTCATTAATTAAATTTAATTATTCTAATAAAATAGTATAATAAAAAATAAATCACATTCTCAGAAATTAGGCCCTCCTAGGAGGAATTTGAACCCACAACCTTTGAATTAAAAGTTCAACGCGCTATAAATTGCGCTACAGTGACACAAGGAACGATTTTCTTTTCTATATATGCTGTTGGAATATTATTTTTGCTTGTTACTATTTATACATTTTTAACTTAATTAATAAATTGATATTTAAAAAAAAACTGTATTAACATCAAATGTCATCCACTGCAAGTTTAAAAAATTGTATTTGAACTTGAATGGACGAACAGAGTTTTATTAACGTTTGAAAATTTGAGCAAGATGTATACATGTATATAGGATAATAAAATAAAAAAATAACAAGACAAAATTTTACAACCAACATAGCTAAAAGATAGAAACCAGATTCTAAGAAACATAACTATAAGAAAATGGTGGAAATGAATATTGTACTAGATTTAAATAAACGTATGTATAACAGGAAACAGAGTTATAATATTAAAATGGAAGAAACCAAAAGAGTCTATGGGCTAAAATGAAAACCTATTACGACTTCTACAGCTGTTGCTGAATTAGGACTAGTAAAATTAGGGTTAAGTATACTTTACGGATCTACCTTCCCCGTACAGCAAAAATTTTCGACATAATAGAAAAAACAGAGCTATGTTGAAAAGTTAGGCCTAAAACTAACACATGTGTATTTTGCTTCAGACAGTAAAATAAAATTAAAATATGAAAGAAAAGGTGTCTTACAAAGAGATGGAAAAAAAATAATTTTGTTGAGGAAAAACTAAGCAAAAACTTACATGCAAGAATGCTAACCAAATGAGAAATAAATGACAATGTACCTAAGTCAAATACGCACGCCAAATGACGTGTTAATATTGGAGTGTTAACACAGAAACAAAAAATAGAAACAAAAATAGGAGCACCGCCTAAATTGTTTTTTGTAATTAAACTAAGCAAACAATATCATATTGAAATTCATAAATAAAGTAGAAGGAGAAAAAATAACATAGAAATATATTTAAAAATTAGAAAGAGTTAAGATAACATAGAAATATATCTAAAAATTAATTTATTTGGATAGTTGTAATCCAAGCAATCATTGCAAAATTGGTTATAATTTCTTTGTTTTAAATCATTATCAGTAACTAAATCATTTTCTTTTTATAAAATTTAAGATAATATTTCTAAAAACAGATAGGTGTAGGTTCCTACACCAGAATGGCATTTTTATAATGTTGAAATCAAAAGCGTCTCTTTTATCAAAAATATTACTTATTAGTAGATTATTCTTAACATTCTCTCTCAATTGAAGGTCTAAAAACTTTGCTGACTCATTATTGTAATTGATTTTTAATAATTTCAAATATTGCTAAAAATAATTAAAGCTGGGAACATTATCTACTATATTACTAAAGATAATTAAGTAATCTACGTAACTAAAAGAGTAACAAGATTCAATATATGTTTGTGTGGGGGGGGGGGGGGTAAGGACTCCTTCTAGCCTTCTTTAAATTAACTCCTTTAAAATATTTCTAATCCCTTGTGGTACAAGACTAAGGTGATAATCCTAATCTTAATCTAATTACTCGCGTGCATTTGCAACCAATCACGACTCCCATTAGAAAGGAGTCGCACGACCTTCACCGCAAGTATAAAAAACTCAGAGCGCTGTGAGCTCACTCTCTTTGTTTTCTGCTTGCCAACAACATGTCTTCGTCGTTGCTGTTTGTCTGTGCTGTGTGCCTGTTGCTGTTTCTACTAAGTGTTTGTGTTCATGCATATTCGTTAATTATTCTAAATGAGCTTGAATTTCATATATCTGTGAACATGAATAAAAGATTAAAACTAAAGAAGAAGCAGTTATCTGTGTATCAAGAAATCCCCATCGACAAATCTCTATACAAATAACCAACAGAAATAGGCCTCGCGACTACACTATTATATATATATATATAGGAGTGAGTGAACTAATAGTAGGAATTGAAAAAAATGAAAATGAGAACTAATAAGAAGCGATTAATTACTTTATTTTATCAGTATTAAACACTCTTAAATACATACATGAACTTTTAATTGGTTTAACCAACAGTATCATGCTCTATTTCCCCCATTCAACAATTTTTTAACCTCAGAATCCAAGCCGCATCCGATTTTCAGTAGCATTAATACTGGAAAAAAAGCGCGGCTTAGATTCGAATAAATACGGTATAAGAAAAATACTCTATATTAATTATATAAAAAATACTCTATATTAACTCTCTGAGTAAAGTTTTGACGCAAGTATTATAAAGGTTTTCTATAAATGAATTATATACAATTAAGTTATCATCATACTTAAATTAGGAGCTGCATTTTATTATTAGTCAGTTTGGAAAAGTCTCTGATTTAAATTTCTAATACTAATAAATGTAGGTATGTATATTAACATAGATAACATAAATACAAAAGTAAATAAGAGGACATTATGGAGGAATCTTCAAAGGAAGGCACAGGCCAACGAGAGGCTGTCTTGCCAGATATGATGATGATGAAATAACATATATTCAATTCTTAATAATTTTATTTCGAAAATGTACGAGATTGAACTATACATGAAATTGATTAAACTGATTTTATATAAACCATATCCTATCATTTCATGAAGAAAGAGAAAGCACGCAACTAAAAATTGCATATAATTTATATAATTCAATTATCACAGAACGGTAAAACATCCGAACAAAAATGGAATGTTAAATAATCTGCTACAAATTTGATTTGAAAAGTTTTACTAATAGTACAAAAAAATAAAAGTTGGCAGTTTTTTTTCTCGTCAATTTTTTTTCTAAATGTTTGAGAGAAATTCTGGAATTTCTCCCTCGACATAGCTTTGTTACCAACTTGCAAGAAATCACTTAAAACAAACGGAAAGTGTTTAGTAAGAATTCTAACGCCTTAAAACATTGAAGGCTTGTTAGTTTTTCAATAAATTAAAAAGCTGAGTACTAATACATTTTTCTCTTGAGTTGTGCTTAATTGACCTCGATCCACTATAAATTAAGAAGGTTGAGTAATCGGCACAATATGATCAAAGCTACAGAAACGCAGGCTGAACTCTTTCTACATGTTAGTGAAGTGACAGTAACGTCAGTATTTCTAAGAAAGCCGAAATTCAATCCTCCGGATTCTGAAGCGTCTTTACTACGTCGAAAGGAGCGCGAGATGCTGAGTTCCGTAATGTGATGCAGGGGCCAAAAAGTTGCTGTTAGGATTGCTTAAGCAAGTTGCTATGACGACAGCTGCTGGCTCTTAATTATAAGCGTAAAAAATGTTAAAGTAGCGGGAAAAAACAAGACCACTTAAAGCTTTTTTAGAGAGATTGTAACGATTGTTGTTGGTGCAATTTTTTATTCTTTCCTCTTCTTTTACCGCATTTACACCACAATTTAGAAGGGGTCTTTTTAAAAATTGTTCACAACAATGATCGATCATTGACTGTGCAAGTTATAAAAAAATCTAATTTCTTAGTTACAGGGCTGTTGCTTTTTTTTCAACCCTGTTTTGTCGAAGTGCTTACTTAAAGGCATTGTGGTTTTCTTTTTTTTCTATTTTTTTCTGTTCTGTATTTTTTCACACTTTATTTAATGAGTCGCAATAGAAGATAAAAGTTAATGCTCGATTGAGCTACAGAAATAGAGAAAATAAATAATTAGAGTTAAAATAACAAACCACGCAACTTCTGAAAAATTGTAGCATCCCCCCCCCACAAGAACCATATAAGCAATCGTTAAGTAGTTAAAGAAAAGGGGGAGGTGAATTTAATGATTTTTTTCTCATTTTAAAATCAAAGTCAGTAAAAACTCTCTCAGTTCACATATACGATCTCTTTTATTCTAAAATTATTCAAAGAATTGATATCTCGACTGTTTAACATCTAAATTAAGCCTTTCTTAACTATAAAGCTATATATATACTGTATTTACTCGAATCTAAGCCGCAATATTTTCCCAATGTTAATGCTACTAAAAATCAAGTGCGGCTTAGAATCGAAACCAAAACTTTTGTTGGATGGAGGAATTTGAGTTTCCACCTCTTTCAAAAAGAAAAATGTAGCTGTCCATTCTGGCTACTTGCATCGATGACTTATCCATTGCGCAGTCCAGTATTTAGTCTATCCTAAGCATCGTTGTCAGCTCGCATTTAGGAAATTTTTTTGTATACGCTTTCTTTTAATCACCTTAACATCAGAGATATTGGTGATAGCCTCAAAACGAGTTCACTATGACGCAAGTATGAAAAGGGAGGCAATTTAATTTGCAAAAAAAAAAAAACGGAGAGCAGCGGGCACTGAAAATTTGACAAGGATGTAACAAATGTACGTTGGTTACGTAAGCAAAATGATATTCTTTTTGCTTGTAAATGTTCAATAGACTTTAAAAATTCTTTCACATTCGTATATAATGCATTCTTTTTTTAAAAATTCTGCATAACAAATGCATTGAAAGGCACGAAAGACGCCATCGTGTGGGAAAATGGCGACGTCGGCAGGGACGCTTTAAGGCATGGGCCTACTGGACCCGGGCCAGGGCCTCATCTTTGGTGGGGACCTCGTTTCGTTCTCGACTCTGTCTTTATAAGATCAAGATCCAGATAATTTTAATGGTCAAATATTATTCCCGTACATATTTTTCGAAAAACAAGGAATTGCAAACTACATGTCAACTGGCAAAAGTGGTAAAACAGTATTATTATGTGATGACCGTTGTCCTTCTCTAGGTCTAGGCCTAGTACCATAAACAATCATTCAACTCATTTGGTTGAAATGCGGCTATTGGTCGAGCTGATTTGTGTCTAGATTTTTGAGATTGTGACTCGTGCTCATTTATTTGTTTCAAATTACCGTTTGAACCAGTATTTGACAATGGATGCTATATATTGTCTACTTTTAAAGATCTTAGGTAGGACCTACTTTTGCATGGAGGCCCAGGGCCTAAAAAATCTTAAGATTTCTCTGGGCCCAGGGCCTCCAAGAGTCTTAAGACGCCCCTGGAAGCCGGCACCAATTCCGAGGTTAACTGTGCCAATGATAGTGACGAATCATTTTCGCAACATGATATTGGCGATTAGA